GTTTCCGTGGTCATGTGGCCGGCATGACTAAACACCAAGGCGCATGGAACGCTGTTACCTTCCCACCGAAGCGGTACCTATTTATCTACTTGCCATTTCTTGCTTTCGAACTGCTAGGTTGGCAGGAGCTGGAACTAGAGACGGGAGCTCACTCCATCATGCGGCACCCGGGTCTCGAACTGCTGAACTACTGACCTTCCACAGCCTGCAGTTCAGCGTCTTAACCACTTGAGCCACCGCATTAGTTATCTGTTTATTAAATTATGTACTATTTGTCAAGGAGTTCAAGGAGATGATAGTAATTGTTTAACAAGCAATCACTGGTAGTGAATAAGAAAATAATTTTATTTATATTAAGTAGACACTGGCAGTGCTATAGAGTAAAAATGGAAGGAATAGTTTGTATATCATTCGAAAATTGTATGATATTTGTGTTATGAACATGTGATGTGGAAAACAATAAAATATACTATATAAAAAGAGGGAAAACAGGATACTTTTACAAGGAGAAACATTGCTTCCAGTTTGTACTAGGGAACAGGAGAACTGCTGAGATGAAAGCCTTAGCACACAAGGACAGTCAGTTGAAAAACCCAGAATAGCAGCAACAGATGCAACAAGAAAACCTAGCAAGCAACCAAGATTTTTGCATATGGTCTTCTTTAAAGTTATTGCTTCCCCAAGGATGTCAGAGTGAGAACAGCAGTCAAAAGCCACAGTTCAAAATTTGGGTTTCTTGCTAATACCAATAAATAAAAGTTTTCTTCATTTTAGTGTTCTCTCTAGTACTCTAGTTAACTCCAACTTTATTATTATAGGCTTTGGCCTGGCAACCAATTGTTTTATTAATTATTTCATTGTTTGTTCTGTGATCGTTGTATATTGTCCAGTACTAGGTTTAGAATTGCCAGGGTGAGAAATTAGAGAAACAGCAGCCAGTCTGAGTCGATGCGAGGTGGAATTTGTGTGCATGTGTGTGAGGGCTTTTAAAAATGTCCTTTGGTTTTAGAGATGTGGGGTAGTCCTTGAAAACAGTTCAAAAGTTTCAGTTAGTGCAAAATGCAGCCACGACTAAAAGAGCTCCATTGACTTTGATACAGTTCTCAGCACAATTGACAATGCTTTATACCCAGTTGAGCTGGCACCAAAGTTATGACTGGCAGGGTAATCCTAAAGAGAGTTACACCCTTCTAAAGCCCATTGATTTCAATGGACTTCGAAGAGTGTAACTCTGCTTAGGATGGCACTGGAAGTCATAGCTGTTCCCCTATAATACTTGCTCATTGATTAAATCCTCTGAAAACAATGATTTCCATGTACCTCCACTATCAGAGGTGATATGGGTGGCGACTAAGAGGATGGCTTTCTCTCTGGTGGTATTTTATCTGTGGAATGCCTTCCCTTCCTCACAAGATTTGCCTGGTGCCTAGTTTGGTCAGTTTTTGGCAACCAGTGAAAACATTTCTGTTCTCTCCTTTTTAAAAGATTGTTTTCCTTTTCACTTCTGCACTTGCTTCTTCATTATTATTTTTGCTGGATTAATTTTTAAAAGTGCTAGATTTATGGTTGTCAGTATCTGCTTGTCATTATTGCCGGTTTCATTGTTTATTACTGAATGTGTTTATGTATTTAATACAAGCAGCCTTGGGAGTATTCCTAGACTAAGTGCAGGTTGGAAACTGTTTAAGTAAATAGTTTTAATGATATTGTGCTTCCCCAACAAAAATATAATCCCACTTGTATATAATGGCTACAACAAAACAAAACTCCAACTACTTTCCTGACAAAGTAAAAAAATGAATCTTGATAGAGACAAGAAATCATGAAAAATAAGTTTGGAAGCGCCAGAGTTTTCAGTTCTGAGGTAGGCAAATCCTCTTCCTTATTTCAGAACATAGGGATGGATTGATTCTAGTGGAAGAGATCAGGAAAGGTCTTGGTGGAAGCAGATTCCCCCCCACCTTTCTCTTCCCAAGCAGCTTGCTGTTTGTCCTGAAATTCCTCTCTGACATTAAAGGGAGCTCACAAATAAAATACAACATTGGATGGGGGAGGGGCTGCAGTGATGATGGGGATTCAAGTAAAAACACCACTGGCTCCCTCTTGCATTCACATTTTGCATTCAGGAGCAAGGGTGTAGACTTTCCAATTTCCCGGGGTGGGGGGGGAGGGCTGGGCCAGAGGCATTGCTATTCTAGGTCCTTAAAAGAACCGAGGCCTAGTGACATCAAAGGGAGGAGCCAGTGACATCACAGGCCATTGTCACTATCTATGGAGGCAAAGCCATGTAGGATTTTGGAAGGGGCTCCCCAGAAATTTAGAGGGGGCTGGGAAACCTTGGGAACCCCCCTAGCCATGAAGAAATGGGGAAAGAGGAAAGGGAATGAAGGAAAATAAAGAAAGGGAAAGAAACAAACAAACAAAATAAAAGAATAGGGGAAGGGAATGGAGGAAAGAAAGAAATGGAAAGAAAGAAAGGGGGGAAAGAAAGGAAAAGAAAGGGGGAAAGTGAATGAAGGAAAGGAAGGGAAAGGGTGGGAAAAGGGGAAAGAAGGGAAAGAAAAAATGAAAAGAAAGGAAAAGAAAGAAATGGAGAGGAAGAAATGGAAAGAAAAGAAAACAAGGGCAGAAAGAAATAGAAAGAAAGAAAGGGGGAAAGGGAAAGAAATGGAAAAAGGGAGAAAGAAATAGAAAATGGAAAGAGGGAAAGAAATGGAAAAAGGGAGAAAGAAATAGAAAATGGAAAGAAAAAGGGAAAGAAAGAAAAAAAGAAAATAGATAGGGAGAGAGGAAGGAAGGGGTGGAAATAAGAAGAAAAAGGAAAGAGAGATCCCCTCTACTGGCAGGAAGCCATTACATTGCTCAGTTTGGCTTCCCCCCTTCTAAGGGAGGGGGAGAGAGCCAACAGGAGGGCTGAAATGGCTCCCTGCTCTTTAAAGCCAGCAGCCTCGTGAATCCACCTGTCAGCTGCTGGCTTTAAGGGCGGGCAGCCATTTCAGGGCTCCCTTTCGCTCCCTCCCCTGGGGGAACAAGTAGGGGGGGAAGCAAAGGAGAGCCCTGCAAAGATTTCCTGCCCTTTAAAGCCAGCAGCCGGTGCGTGGACCTGCCAGCTGCTGGCTTTAAAGGGCAGGCTGCCTTTTCTCTTTTGCTTCTAAACAGGGGGACACAAGGAGTGCCCTGCAAGGGTTTCTGCCCTTTAAAGCCAGCAGTCGGCGAGTGGACCCACCAGCTGCTGGCTTTAAATGGCAGGCTGCCTTTTCAGAGTTCCCTTTCGCTTCCCCCTGCTTCTAAATGGGGGGCAGAAAGGAGAGCCCTGCAAGGGTTTCCTGCCCTTTAAAGCCAGCGGGTGGACCCATTGGCTGCTGTCTTTAAAGGGCAGGCTGCCTTTTCAGACCTCCCTTTTGCTTCCCCCCACTTCTAAATGGGGGGAAGCAAGGAGAGCCCTGCAAGGGTTTTCTACCCTTTAAATCCAGCAGCTGGTGGGCTGCCTTTTCAGAGCTCTCTTTTGCCCGGGGAGGCTCAGTCCCCCCTGAAAAAAATTTTTGGGCCCCCCAGCCCCCCATGTAGTCTATGCCTATGTTTGGGAGGGGGAGGAAAACAATCTTCCTGATTCCTCAGAATCACTTCAGCCCCCCTGCCCCCATTCTGTGAGAGGTTTTGTTCACAAGTCTCCCTTGATCCTCAGAGAGCATTTATGGTGCAAAAGACAAGCTGCTTGAGGAAAGGGAAGACACTGAAAAATCTGCTCTTTCTGTAAGCTCTTCTGGTGAATCCAACCAGATTTTCAACATATTCACACTTGAAGATGATGGGGGAGATTATCTTAATTGAATACAGGGAAAGAAAACAAGAGGTTTTCCAATTTGTAGGTTACTTAATCCTCACCCCCGCTGCAAACATCAGGGGGGGAATCTTAAAAAGAAGTAAGCAAAATTATTAGTGTATATTTTAGTTCAGTATGAAATTGTTCTGACTAAACGACTTTAGACTGACATGTGGGAAAGTTAAAGTCTCTTTCTCCTTTCTGTACTTATGATTCATACAACTATTCTCCCATGCACATTATCTGGAAAGCTCAAGATAGTTTGCAAATCAACAAAAACTGAACATGGAAGTTGCAACTACCCTGAGCTCTATCTCTGTAGCTGTTGACTTTGTTGACTCCAGTTTCTCCACCAGCTCAGTGTCTCCCAAGAAATTGCCCTCTGCGGCTGAAAGACGAAATAGCAGATCATCCTCCAGGTGCTTCAGCTGAATCTTGAATTCATTCTGTTGCTTTGTCAAAAGAGACTGGAAAACATAATGGAAATGTTTCAGTTGAAACATGGATTATCAATAGGAAGTGAATAAAGAACTGTTCAGACACAACATTTTTGTAGCACCTGTCAAACCAACTGTCCACTTTGATTCCAGAACTACCTGAGGCTTCCCAGAAAACTGCCATTTCCCTCATCAATGAGTTGTCCAGTTTAACAAATCAACAAATCAACACTGCCCACCATGCAGTATCCTGCTCCTCAAAGGCCCTCAGTATCTACCACTGAAACTGAATACATATCAGCTGCACAAGGTTGTCAAGAAATACAGTGGCTATGCCAGCTACTGACAGATCTAGGTATGGATGTACCACAATCCATACAAATTCATGAAGACAACTAAAGCTGCATTCAGCTGTCTAAACAAGAAGATGCAAACATGTGTACCAAACATATGGACATAAAGTATCACCTAGTGAGAAAATTGCAAAGAGAAGAAATTATCAAGCTGACCTACTGTCCAACAGAAGAAGTTATTGCAGATGTTCTCACTAAGCCACTCCCTAGAATTCGCTTTGAAACTCTAAGAAAGAAGATGAATCTTGTACTGAAGTCATGAGACACTGAGGGGGGTTGTTGGAAGTGAAGGATTTTGTGCTGTCTCTTAGCGTCAGACTTCAGAGGGGGACTATAACAGAGTCAGAGACATAGATAGGCTAGGACACTAATCATCCTTTCCTTCTACTGTTCTGATGCTATCCCTTTGATGTGTAGATTACTACTCTCGGGGAATCTTCCTTCATTCCAATCTGACACCTTCTCTCCATACTGTGCTACTCTTCTCCGTCTTGGCACCATGAGGGAAGGACATGCTTCCTGCATCTCTATCTATCCTAGGTAGTTAGACAAGATTAGAATACTATCTCTACTCTATCTTGTCTAGAATGGAGTTCCTTACAATAAAGGACTCATATTAGTTTTGCAAAGATAAAGATGCTCTATGTGTAACTTTATTTCATGTCAGCATATACAAACCAGATAGACTCTGCTGCGTTATGTGCCTTGAGCACTCTGCTAACCAAATAATCCTTCAGAAACAATGCCAAGAAGACCAAAGTTTGAGTCCAGTGGCACCTTTAAGACCAACAAACTTTTATTTTCAAGAGTCAACTCTCCTTTCATTCCCTTCACTTCCTTATACTCCCCATATCTTGTCCATATCTAAGCTGCTACTGGACTTGAATCTAGCACAGCTACCCTCTGAAACTTTCTTGCCTCTTCCATCTGGATGCAGACCTCCAAGATCCTGAAAATACTGCACCAAATGACAGGGGACAAAGTGGGAAGTGGAATCAAAGAAAATCATCCTCCCCATCACTGGTGGAAGTGCCTTCCATCAGAGGAAGACAACCTTTGGATCCAACACAATGTACTTGTGATGTGGAGCATACTGAAACTGATGAGGCACAACTAATGAACACGTGGGTTTACCTTAACTTTCTCCAAATCAGGACGTTCAATATTAACAGCCTCAGCCAGCAGCTGGTCCTCCAGCCCATCCTCTGTGACTGTGAAATTAATGAGAGTGGTCTGAGCTTGCAGTTCTGGTTTGTAGTGGGGATTAGCCAGCTTAGTGTGAAGGATGAGACGGAAATTCTTGTTGAATTCACATTCTTTGTCTTCAATCTTGATATACCTGAGCTCAATTCAAATAAATAATATTAAATAAGATATTAAAAAAAATAATTTATCCCATCCCCTCAAACTCAGACCTTCAATTTCTGGCTAATTCTGTATTCATCTAAATTAAAACCTGTATATGCACATGTCAGCATCCTACCCTCCAAATGCCTTTCTCAACAAGAACCATCTCTTAGCAAACTAGATTGGCTTGGGAACAACACAGACTGAAGCACTGATGTGACTTGACTTCCAGCATGAAACCAGTGAAGTTAAATATTTTGGCTCTCCCAGCCTGTATAATAGCACACCCAGATATAACTAAAATTATCAGTGGGACAGCTGTGGGAATATACTCTCGCCGTTTTGGTCATCCTTCCCAGACCAAGCTTAAGCCAGTTCTGTGACTCGCAGCAGAAGCAAGCTGTACACAGTGATAATTGCTTGATGTCTATGATGTCATCAAGAAATCAACCACTTCTTTCTCCAGAGCAATTATTTAACTTTTAAAAAAACCCTGGTCAGGTATCATTTGTCTAAAATAAACTTAACTGAAAACAAGCAACAATTTACAAAAGGGTGGACAGTAAAGAAAAGAGCAAAACAGGGTAGCAGTACTAAAATTAGAAAAGTACTGATCTATGAAAAGGTGGAAAAAAGAAGGCTCATCCGTTAGGGGGGGAAAGTACAAAGTCCTCCTCTGTTTGTATACTCCTATCATTACTAGGAGCAGAAATCATGGAAAAGAGTGCCAAATTTGACTGCTAATCCATAAATAATATTTTTCTCTTCAGTTATCTTCTAATTTCAACAAAATTATGTCAAAAATTATCCATGTTCCAAGTTGCCAGCAAAGTTGCAAAATTTAGATGCATTGTACAGTACGGTAAACTTTTGCAGTGAGTACACTATGCTGCTTCATGTTGTAAAGGATAATGGAATATTGGATTCACAGATTAACTACAGAACAAAGAGGGCCATGTTATAACTCATTCTTTTTACTTTATTTACCGAGAAATTTACCTGGGGAACAACCCTGTGCTATTACAATATTAAAATGACTCATTGTAAAAGCATTCTGCAGCGTTTACACTGAAACTATTTTATTGTTGCTCAGTGTACATCAGTAATAAATTATACCACCAATTTCTGTGGTTATCAGCTATGAAAGACAAGCATTGCACAATGATTCAGTGAGTTTTATCACTGAAGCTAGAGTCTTTTTCTTTTAATCACAGTTCTGGGAAAACTAAATATTTGTGCTATTGCTCTCTTATGATTCCGCTATGATGATAGTCAACGGGGTTGGGGAGAAGGACAACAGAATCAATTTGTCAGATTCAGCCAAAGACATTTATGTAGAGGTCAGCACTCAAGATCAAGGTGTAGTAAACCTGGCCTTTTTCTATTACTGTGCAGGTGACATGGTCAGAAAACTTCAGATAAACTGTTATAAGGAGGTACTGCACTTCCACCTACGGAAAAAACTGGAGCTATTTAAAGAAATTGTAGAACCTGACACAGAGACTACTCCATCTTTCTGTGCTATACCTCTGAGGATGCCAGTCACAGCTGCTGGCGAAACATCAGGTTCTACAATGCCAAGACGATGGCCATACAGCCCGTAAAATCTACAATAACTAATGAACTCTGGCTGTGAAAGCCTTTGACAATATATTTAAAGAATCTCTAAAAACATGTTCCTTAGCAGGACAAACCAATGAATATACCTTGCTTCAATCTCTACATTGGCTTCCTATCCAGTCCACTATCTAACACAAACTCTTCTCCTTACCTTCAGATCCCTCCATGATCTTATCTCATTTTTATCTTTCTTTGCATCTTGATAATTTACTACCCATGATATTTGCACCTCTTTAGCTGCCTGGAGATCCCTGGTCTCTTAAACAACAGCACCTATCCTCCCTTACATCTCATGATGTTTTGAACTCCCTCCCAGAAAATGGACTATGTCCCTGCTGCATAACTGACTTGACTAGAGTCACAACAAAAAAGTGGGATGGAAAGGTATAAGAAAGAGTAGCAGTTGAATTCCAGAACTGTCGTCACTATTTTTAGAATGCTGACACATTTATCAAAGCAACCACTTTCTGCTAAGCCTCCTAACAGTTAAAAAAGGACAAAAAGGGAACATCTCAGGACTGCATTTCACAAGAGTACAGTAAAGGTAAAGAAAGGTGGCAGACAGATTTCTGGGCAAGAAAGCAAATACGAACAATATCTTCTTACTTTGGGGGGGGAGTACTTTTCAAAGAGCCTCTAAAAAGCCTTATTTTGAGGCCTGCTGTTTGAAATTAAAAGCTTCCACGTACAACGTGAACTCCAGCTGCTAATGCAGAGGTGCACAGAATGGCAGAGAGGAGTTGTTACTTAGCAATCACAGCAGGAAAACTGTACAAGTTGGTCAAACTAGTGTAGGGGTGGGGAAATTCCAACAGAAAGTTGCACAGCTGGCATGAGGTTCAAGGCAAAAAAAAGCCATTCTGTGTGGCAACTGAGTTAAGCATCTTACTGTTGCATGAAGATACAGAGAACTGTGTCATCACATGTAAATGGAAAGTATGTTTGCAACAAAGGTTAATAACATCAGGTAAACATGTCATCTGACTTTTAAAAAGTACTGTACACCTTGAAGCAGAATTAATATTGTATAAGGTGTTATATATTGCTTGATGGGTCAGGATCAATGCATGCATCTAACTGATGCATGTGAGAAGTCTCTGGCTGCATATCTACATACAGTAAACCAGGTTTGGTGTATGGTTCTTGTAACTGAATTGGGAACCATACATAGTCCTCAGTGAAGGCCAAATTGCATACATTTTGTCATGAGGATGGGAATGCACATGCTTGAATGCTATCCTAGGCAATTACAGCAGTTACTATTCATGCATTAAAACTCAAGTCATGTGCAACAACGTGTTGCGCACAACTGTCTCTGGATCAAAACCTAGGCTTGCTACTACTCTAACATATATTTATTATCAAATGGCAAACTAGGTATGTTGATAATATTGTAATCTGTTCTTTCAGTAACTTCCTTAATATAACAAGATTTCAGCCAAAGAACAGCCTCAACAAACCAGAGGTGGGATGTAATTTTATGAAGTTGCTTCACAGATCATCAGGTTTACTAACATGTAAAGCTAGTAATGCTTTGGAAGGAACACAAGTTGATAAATCTTCCCAGCAATGCATTCTGTCGATTGGTATCATAAAATGTATTTTATTTAAAATTAGGATTGTCTGAAGCTCAGTATATCTAATTATTTGTAATTACCCAGTTGTTGTCAGTATGTGGTCATTTTATGACAGCACTAGCTACAGTGTGGGTCAGGTTCAACTGTATGTCTTTTCAAACACAGAATTAATGTACTATTGATAAAACCATTACTAGTACCAAATTAAAGTCTGAGCTGATGTATTGGTCCGCAGAGTGCTGTCAGACATGAAAGGAGTAATTAGTATTCATTACTTCATACTCTACAACATTCCAATTATTAATGAACTTCAACTGTTGGTCTGCACCATATCTATCATGAGCATCCTTTCAGTCTTTCTTTATTAGAAGGGGGGGGGGACAAACAGTGATACAATAAGTAAAATAAATAAATTAAAAGGCATAAAACGCTGAAAACCCTACGAAGCTAGGTTGCATTTTTGTTTGTTTGTTTTGTTTTTTCTCCTGATCTATAGTCACGGAGCTTAAGTAAGTACAACTACTGAACAACCAATGATGGTCAAATAATGAAAATAACTTTCACATATACTCAGGACACTTAAAATGGATCTTCACTTCCTCAGTTTTTATTTTGTTCTACCCTAATCTGCACTTAATGGGTGCTGATATTACGTTTGTTGGAGTTCCTGATGGCAACTCTTTCCTTAAATAAGCCAGCTTTTCTCCAGCTGAATAACGCACAAATATTGTCAAAGAAGGGGAAGCACTGGATTCCAGGATGAGCCAGGCCAATTCATTAACAGTTGTCAACCTTGATGCCCCAGTAACATCCCAGCCTGTGTTACCAGCCTTTACCAGCTCTTCGTTCAACAGCTTTCAGTCATGGTCCTCTACCTACTTGGTTGCAAGCTCCTTCAGAGCTGCCATTACTTGCTGCTTTTTGTCAGGACCTGCTGCTAGTGTTCATAGGGGCCTGATGCTCCGTGTGACCGCGGCCATCGTTAGACAACAAGGGTGCCATATCTCCAGCATCACCTTGCACACACAGTAAGAGGACTAACAAGATAGTAAGGCAAGGTCACACCATGTTGAAGAGAATTGTTTTAACCACAGGCAAGTTCAGAGATCCTCCTTCCCCATAACAGCTCTCCTTTGCCTTTTTCCACTTCCCCTGGCCTGGCCCGCCTACCTTGCCCCTGCCAGTTAGTCCACCAATGCTCCATGGATTATTGCAGTGCATAGCCTCTAACATTGAGGTTACTACTCTGGCTCCATCTTTTCCTGTCACCAGTCTAGCACATTACTTTCTGTAATGTGCTTGCAGGTCCCAGCATTAAAGGTGGGTCCTGCATGTGAAAAAGCTGAAGACTGTTGCTTTGGTTTTAAGCTATGGTGTACCCTTGAAAATCCTTTGCTCGAAAGCCAGTCAAATCGGACTCTAGGGTTGCGGTGCTCATCTCTGCTTCCAAGCCGAAGAGCCAGCGCTGTCCAAAGACATTTCCGTGGTCATGTGGCTGGCATGACTAAACGCCGAGGCCCATGGAATGCTGTTTCATAAGCTGATGGCATTTCCAGGTCCTTGCACTGTACTGTATTAAGCTATGGTGTACCCTTGAAAATCCTCCATCTAATATTCACCATAAGCTTTTCTGATTCATTCCCTCCTAGCATGCACTATCAGACAATGATGTCAGAATACAGAGTATTATTCACAACAGACATGCAGTTTGGTTGCCTGAGGAGCCCTGAATCATTCCTTTTCCTTTAGTCTGTCACCTACCCACTTATGCAATACTTTCACATCTCCCTGATTC